GGCGCCTGTGGTCCCAGCTACTTGGGAGGCTGAGGCAGAAGACTTGCTTGAGCCCAGGAGTTGGAAGTTGCTGTGAGCTGTGATGCCACAGCACTCTACCTAGGGGGATAGCTTGAGGCTCTATCTCAAAAAAGAAAGAAAAACCTGCCCATAATTTTTCACTGCTCCAAGACCAAAATAAAAATTTTTCTCTGCAGCCAGCCCACCTTTCCACACCTCAGATGCCCTGTGTTTCTGCTGCCTCCCTAAAGGGAAGGCTCCCAGGATCCTGGGTGACCCTATGAGGTACTTTCCATAGATTAGGAACAGGAGGCTTAGAGCAGTACAGCAGCGTGGCTATAGCTCAGCTCTGGGAGAAAAGAGGGACAGAGCAAGACCCCCATGCGGAGAGCAGGGCTTGGCCTGGGCTTTCCCCAATTGCCCCACCCACCATGCCCTCCCCAGGAGCTGGGCACTCACAAGCCAGTGAGCACGTCCGTTTCTATTTCTGTATCCTGGGTGGGGGCCAGGCTGCTAGTCCCTTCGGCTAGGACCTGCCGGATCAGGTCTTCATCTGGAGGGACCAGGATGTGTCAAGGTGGGCCAATCCTCAGGGGTGGACTTTCAAGCCCTTCCTCCTCCACCCCCAGCTCACCTGATGCCGACAAGTATTTGGCAGGTGAAGAGGGGCTAACCAGGGAGAGATTATCCTCTTCTGGGCCTAGCACAAGGCCAGCCTGGCCCTGTGCCAGACGCCGCAAGGTGCTGGCCATAATGGACGAATCACTAAGCAGGTCCGGCCAACCAAGTGTGCCTTCACTGGACAGCAAAAATACCAGGCTGTGGGTGGGCAGGTCAGCAAGGGTAGCCCTGAGACACATCTGCACACATCCCCCAACCCAAGGCTGGTCACACATTGCCACACTGGACTTCAACACAGACCTGCTCCCAGATGACGTGTGACAACAGAGTTAGCAAGCATGTGGCCTAGACACCCATACACCTAAAGCACAGGTAACCTATGCCACAGTATGCATTTTTTCTAGGAAACCCACCTTTTAGAATCATCCAGAAATAAGTCACTTTTCATTTGTCCAGCAAAGGCCTGTTGAGAAGTACAAAGACCACCTGAAAGTCTGGGCTGCCCCAGTGGCAGAACCCACCCAGCCCAGGCCAGGTCTGAGCTGCTCCTGGCCCCTGATGGAGACCTCACCTCAGCACGGAGGCCAGGAAATGTGACGAATGAGCTGTCCAGCACAGTCGAGTCCAGGCAGCTGTCAACGTCCAGCACCTGCTGCCCTACAGGGGTAGGGCTCAGGACCCCAGCCTCCTGCAAGGAGAGAGCAGATGGTCAGCAGGACGCAGCTCTGGCCCGTCAGGGGAGGCAGAACCTACTTCCTAACGAAATAGGGTATAGACCAGTGCTGAGAGAATGTTCTACAACGGTAGACATGTTCTATATCCGTGCTATCCATTAGAGAAGGCCCTAGCCACATATTGCCCTTTTTTTGAGACAGGGTCTCACTCTGTTGCCCAGATTGGAGGGTCATAGCATCATCTCTGCTCAACCTCAAACTTCAGGGCTCAAGTGATCCTCCTGCCTCGGCCTCCCGACTAGCTGGGACTACAGGCACCTGCCACAACACTCAGCTAATTTTTCTGTTTTTGTAGAGATGGGGGTCTCAGGCTGGTCTCAAACTCTAGGCCTCAGGTGATCCTCCTGCCTCAGCCTCCCCGAGTGCTAGGATTATAAACATGAGCCAGTGCACATGGCCTAAACTTTGATTTAATTAACTATAAATATAAATAGCCACATATGGCTCATGGACACTGTACTGGACTCCTAGGATGAATCCTTCACGGTTTACAATCTTTTTTTCTATGTTGCTGAACTTTGTCACTTGTTGCACACTGTTGAGGGGATTTGCATGTGTAAGGGATACTGGTCAGCAGTTTCTCTTCTTTCTATATCCTTGTCTAGGTTTAGTGTCAGGGTAATGATGGCTTTCCAAAATGTTCGGAAGTACTCCTTCCTCTTGTATTTTTTGGAAAGAGTTTAGAAGGACTGGTGCTAATTCACCAGTGAAGGCATCTGGGCCTGAACTTTTCCTTGTGGGAAATTTTTATAACAAATTACTAATTCAACTTCTTGCTATGGATCTATTCAGATTTTCTATTTTTTCTTAAGTCAGTTTTGGTAGTTTGTGTCTTTCTGGAAAAATGGTAGTTTCTTCTAGTTACCTGATATGTGGGTCACTGTTGTTTTTTTTTTAAGACAGAGTCTCAGTATGTCACCCTCAGTACAGTGGTGTGGCATCACAGCTCAGAGCAACCTCAAACTCTTGGGCTTAAGCGATTCTCTTGCCTCAGTCTCCCAAGTAGCTGGGACTACGGGTGCCTGCCACAAGGCCCTAGCTATTTTTTTGTTGTAGTTGTCATTGTTGTTTAGCTGGCTCGGGCCGAGTTTGAACCTGCCAGCCTCAGTATGTGGCTGGTGCTGTAACCAATGTGCTACACGGGCGCTGAGCCTGTCATTGTTGTTTAGCTGGCCTGGGCCAGGTTTGAACCTGCCATGTCAGTGTATGTGACTGGCGCCCTAACCACTTAGCTACAGGGTCACCATTGTTATAAGCATCATGCACAGGTCCTATCAATTTCTATAAGGTTGGTGGGGATGTTTTCTTTTTCATTCACGATTTTGGCAATTTGAGATTTCTCATTTTCTCTTGTGAAACTCTTTTGGGGCTTTTTTTTTTTTGGAGATAGTCTCACCTTGTTACCCTCAGTAGAGTGCTGTGGTGTCATAGCTCACAGCAACCTCAAACTCTTGGGCTCAAGCAATTCTCTTGTCTCAGCCTCTTGAGTAGCTGGGACTAGGGGTGCCTACCACAATGCCTGGCTATTTTTAGTGATGGGGTCTTGTTCTTGCTCAGACTGGCCTCAAACTTGTGAGCTCAGATGATCTGCCCATCTCGGCCCCTAAGAGTGCTGGGATTACAGGATTGAGCCACTGTGCTTGGTCTCTTGCTAAAGTTTTGTCAATTTTGCTGATCTTTTCAAAAGAATCAGCTTTTGGTTCACTGATTTCCCTCTCCAGCTGCTGTACTAGATAGTATAGTCCCTGGCACGGCCCTGAGCCCCCACACTCCATCCCCAGATCCCTGAGATCTCCAGCCCCAGCCCACCTTGCTCCGGGACATCCGGAAAAGGAACAAGACGGCCAGGTAGATAGGGTAGACAACCACGCTGGACACCAGGCCGATGGCAATTGTGTCGACATTCAGTGAGATCAGACTAGACACAGGCCCTGGGCTGTGTGTTAGGAGGAGAAGAGAGCCCGGCCAGGTCAGTGGTAGCAGGGCAGTTGGGGAAGAGGAGGCTACCCTGACCCCATGGGCACCCACCTGTATGTGCTGTCTCCCACGACCCTGTACCATACAGCATTGGCACCCAGGAAGAGGCAGATGAGGAGGAAACAACAGGTGGCCCTCTGGACTCGAGTGAAACGGCTGCGAGGCGGTCGGTCCCATATGGAGAGCCAGATGTGCTTGTCAAAGAAGCCACGCTGTAGCTCAGCCACTAGGAGACGCTGGAACCTCCACAGGGCCGCCTCACCTGAGCAAAGGGCACAGGAGCAGCTGCAGGAAGCTGAATGGCAAGGTGACCCCTCCAGCCTGCCTGGGCCAGGGACAAGGTCTTACTTGCTGCCAGCACCTCCTTTTCCACTAGGCCTCCATTGGCTTCTGTCTCCACTGATAGCCAGTCATTGACCAAGAAAAAGGTGCTGCGGGCATTCTGTAGGTCCCTTACAATGATGTGTTGTAAGAACCAGGCAGGGCTGAGACCTATAAAGGGGTAGGAATGAGATTAGGGCTACAGGGTGCTGGTGGGGCAGAGGGCAGCTGTGGGTCCCCATGCCAGACCTTTATTGTCGTGCCACACTCGGATTTTCCACACACTGCCCAGGCTGTGCGGGGTGGCAATCTGGAAGATGTCCAGGCTGTTACGATGGAAGGCTCTGTCCCCATCCAGGTGCCGGTGGCCACTTCGGCTGTCCACCCCATACAGCATGATGCCCACATGGGCTGTGGTACCTGGGTGGTAGGATGTGAGGGGGCAGAGCTCTGAGTTTGCTGCCTACCATATATGGGGTCCCAGTTAAGTTCCTACATGTGTCAACCTTCATTCACACAAGTCAGGGTAGGCAACCATGGCTTTGCCCAGCTCTGAAACACCAAGGAGTTTTAATTACCTTGGTCTGGTTAGTAAATACCAGCTCTGCAATGAAATGACTCAAGTCCAAGTCCAGTTACTGTGGCATCTAACTGAAATGACCATATGAAGTGTAGATGCAACTATGCTTCCTAATCCTCTGTAAGCAGAGGTACACACCACTCATACACAGGCTGACGTGTGTACCATATCACCTCTTTACTCCAGTAACAGACCCAGGTGACAATTTTTTTAAAATGGAGAACCTGGCTCGGCGCCTGTGACTCAAGTGGCTAAGGCGCCAGCCACATACACCTAAGGTGGCGGGTTCAAATCCAGCCCGGGCCCGCCAAACAATGATGGCTGCAACCAAAAAAAAAAAAAATAGCCAGGCGCCTGTGGACCCAGCTACTTGGGAAGTGGAGGCAGGAGACTCACTTGAGCCCAGGAGTTGGAGATTGCTGTGAGCTATGATGCTATGGCACTTACCCAGGGGAACAGCTTGAGGCTCTGTCTCAAAAAAAAAAAAAAAAATGGAGAACCAAAGAGAATTGGCCAACAAAGATGAAAGCACAGCAAAGAAACGAAAAATTCTCATGTTGGCAAATGGAGTTATGGAAAAAAACAGCCAGGGGACACTGACATTGCTTCCCCTCAAAGGAATGGAGCAACAGTCTGGGTTTGGTTAGTGAGACAAACTCAGCAACACTAATAAGGGAAGTGGTGGAGAGAAGGGAACACTCACGTTGTTGGTGGGACTGCAAACTAATATAGTCTCTTTGGAAAGAAATAGAGAATCCTCAAATTAGACCTCCCATTTGATCCCAAGATCCCATTATTAGGCATCTATCCAGAAGAAAAAAAATCATTTTATCATAAAGACATCTGCACTAGACTGTTTTATCACAGCTCAATGTGATAAATCCAATCACCAAGATGTGGAAACAACTTAAATGCACATGAGCTGATGAGTGGATTAACAAACTGTGGCATATATATATACCATAGAGTACTATTCAGCCATAAAAGGATGGAGACTTTACATCTTTTGTATCAACCTGGATGGATCTGAAACACATTCTTCTTAGTAAAGTATCACAAGAATGTAAAAGCAAAGGCTGGGTGCAGTGGCTAGCACTCTGGGAGGCCAAGGCAGGTGGATTGCCCTAAGTTCACAGGTTGGAGGCCAGCCTGAGCCAAAGCAAGACCCCATTCTCTATAAATAGCCAGGCACTGTGGCAGGCACGTGTAGTCCTAGCTACTTGGGAGGCTGAGGCAAGAGAATTGCTTGAGCCCAAGAGTTGGAGGTTGCTGTGAGCTATGACACACTCTACCAAGGGTGACAAAGTGAGACTTGGTCTCAAAAAGAAAAGAAAGAAAGAATGGATAAGCAAGCATCCAATTACTCAATACTAATTTGAAGCCTGTAAATGATTCAATACATGCAAACATCAGAGAAAAACTCAATTCAATTCAAACTGAGGGAAAGGGGAAGGGTGAGCTCCCACCTAATGTGCACAATGTAAGGGCATATGGCGTCCTCCTGGGGGTGGGACACAACTCGTAAACATTGTAACCTAATTGTACCCTCACATTAACCTGAAATTAAGAAAAAACCCCAAAAAACCAAGTGAGGAAAGTAATGATAGCAAAAGGATGAAGGTCTTTCAGCAGAGTTATGCCAGCAAAAACCTCATACTCAGGCTTGGTGCCCGTAGCACAATGGTTATGGCTAAGCCACATACACTGAAGCTGGCGGGTTTGAACCCAGCCCAGGCCAGCTAAACAACAATGACAACTGCAACAAAAAACAGCTGGGCGTTGTGGCGGGTGCCTGTAGTCCCAGCTACTTGGGAGGCTGAGGCAAAAGAATCACTTAATACCAAGAGTTTGACGTTGCTGTGAGCTGTGACGCCATGATACTCTACCAAGGGTGACATAATGATACTTTCTCAAAAAAAAAAAAAAAAAACCTCATAGTCAAAGACTCCTAGGAGACTAGGAAATACTACACAATATCATAAGTGTGAAGAACAAAAACATGGGAATTCAGTACAGACTTAGAATGTGGTAATTCACCAAAGCACAGAAACAATGTTCATTCTCCCCTGTTACCCAGCAGGACGGCAGCACACACTGTTCAACTACTCTTATGAGTAAGTTTTTCATAAAGAAATAATACTGGCTCAGTGCCTGTAGCTCAGCAGCTAGGGCACCAGCCACATACACCAGAGATCGCGGGTTCAAACCAGCTGGGGCCTGCCAAACAACAATAACTACAACCAAAAAATAGGTGGGCATGTGACGGGCGTCTGTAGTCCCAGCTACTTGGGAAACTGAGGCAAGAGAATCGCTTAAGCCCAAGAGTTTGAGGTTGCTGTGAGCTGTGACACCATGGCATTCTATCAAGGGCGACATAGTAAGACTCTGTCTCAAAAAAAAAAGAGAGAGAAATAACACTATGTTTGCCAAGTTTCTAATGTTTTAAGTTACACAATATTCAATAATTATCGGTATATTTCCTTTCACATTTATAATGAATAGTAAGAGAGTTGTGTGTTGTTTGGTGGTGTTGTTTGAGACAAAGAGTCTCAAGCTGTCGCCCCGGGTAGAATACCGTGGCATAACTCACAGCAACCTTGGACTCAAGGGATCTTCTTGCCTCAGTTTTTTTTTTTTGGGAACTGGAATCTCACTCTGTTGCCCTGGGTAGAGTGCTGTGGTGTTATATCTCACAGCAACCTCAAACTCTTGGGCTCAAGCGATTTTCTTGCCTCAGCCTCCCAAGTGCTGGGACTACAGGTGCACACCACAACACCCAGCGACCTTTTTGTCGCAGTTTGGCCAGGGCAGGATTTGAACCTGCCACCCTCAGTATATGGGGCCAGTGCCCTACTCACTGAGCCACAGGTGCTGCCCCAGTTTTTCATTTTTAGTTGAGAGGGATCTCACTCTTGTTCAGACTGGTCTCTAATTCATGACCTTCAGCCATCCGCCCACCTAGACCTTCCAGAGTGCTAACTAAGATTATAGGTGTAAGGTATCACACCTATGAACTTTAAAGGTCACAGAACCACCATAATTTCTCCATTGATTACTGAGCACTGCACAGTTTTAGTTCAAACACACTGGCAGGGCCCTGTGCCAGGAGAGGACCACCTGCTCAGAGCCCTTCTCATTCTTAGGGACAGTGAACATTTGTGAGGCTGCTCTAAGGATTAGCAAGACAGTGCTTTACACAGCACATGGTGAACTATGCACCTGTCTTATGACAACTGCTGTGAGTAACACTCTGTGGGAATGAGCAGGCAGAGCAAGTGGGAGCAGCTTGGGGGCCCGGCATCCACTCCTCTCACCTGAGCCCCGGCCCCAGCCAGTCTTGACCAGAATCTCATACTTGAAGCGACCCCTCTTCCCGCAGAAAGGGATGACACGGACCCGGCTGATATCTAGCTGGTCCAGTTTGCGCAGGATCACTGCCATGACCACGTAGGTCACTAGGCTCACAGCACACGTCAGCAGGACAACGTAGTTCATGGCTGCAGCCGGCTCCTGAGGACAGAGCCACCAGGCTCAGGAGGTCACGCACAGACTCCACTTTCTCAGGGAAGGGCTGGGGCCCACCCAGGTCCTACTCAGCCCTGCCATGGGCACCACTCACAGGAAAGATGAAGTGGATGCGACTGGGGGGCACAAAGAGGCTGGCACCGAAGACAGTGAGGTGGCGGGTAAGGCAGACAGCCTGGCTGGGTGAAGTCTCCTCCAGGGGCACTAGCCCCTCTGTCTTCCACATCATCTCCTCTTCACTGAAATACTGGCACAGGGATGTGTACAGGCCCACAGACACCTCCAGCACTGACCAGTGGAAGTGGCTGGTAAAGTTCAGGTAGTAGTTCCCACCCTGGTCTTCAGTCCTGGACAGAAATGTGGGAGTATTAACAGCCAGCTCCAGGCCCAAGCCGGGCTAGGTGTCCTGGCTTCAGGTCTCTATCCTGGCTTGTGCCCCCATCTTCCTGCTGCTACTGTTAAGCTCCCTGCAACCATGGCAAGTGCAAACCCAGTCACACCCACCCTGCCCTGATGCATGCACACCCCCATCATGCCACTCACCCTGGGGCAATGAAAAAGGTGTAGGGCCTGTGGTCGTCACTCTCCAGCACTTCCAGGCTGATCCTCCTACTGGCTGAGCAGTTGTGCTCATTAGGCTGGGGCACCATGTGCAGATAGACAGCCAAGTAAGGCTCAGGCTCCTCAGACAGGTAGCGCCCTGGGATGGCAAGCACACAGTTAGATGCCAGCCTGGGAAGTTCATCCACCCTGGGGCCCTCCCTCTGGAGGCAGAATTCTCCATGCCCCCTTGACTCTCCTCTAGTCAACCACCTGGGACCCATGAAGCAGAAGGCAGACTTCCCCAAAGACCCCAAATGAGGGTATCTGTGGGAAATGCATTCTGTCTCAGGGCCAAGGCTGGCAGAGGGATCACCCATATGCCTGCTCATAGCACCCACCACTCAGCAGCGTGTAGGTGACCTGCAGATGTAGCCCAGCCTTGGGGTTGCTGTTGTCTGGGGTGACCACAGCACCGACTGAGGACCAGGGCTGGACGACAACAGAACCAGCAGGGGTGCGGTGGCTCCAGGCAGCCTGATCTGAGTTGTTGGGCACCTTCACAGTGATGGCACGCTCTGATGCTAGGCGCTCAATAGGGATCTGGGCGCCAGCTTGTGTCTGAAAGGCCATGGACACCACCTTCGTGGAGACAGTGTAGTTGCTGATGTAGCCAAAGGGAAAAGGGTTTGAGTCAACAAGGAAGATGAGCTGCACCACATCACTGAGGTGGGACAGGGCTCCGCTGAAGGCCTCAGGGATGGAGAAGTGGCACCCAGGGCCTGAGGCATTGCCATAGCATAGCAGGCTCAGCGGGTCTGAGCGCTTGCCCTGGGCAACAATCTCCTCAGCCACCAGGGTTAGGGGCTCCTCGTTGAGCACACGGGAACGCATGAGGATACACATGAGGGCTGAGGACAGGTTGTAGGCCTTGGATGCCACCATCACGGAGGTTGGCTCAGCCCCTAGCTCTGAGAGCTGCAGGCCCTGCATATCCGAGTTGCCCAAGTAGATGAGGTCACCTGTAGGTGATGTAGAGGGTGAGGGGAAGTCCAGGTAGGAGGTCCAAGCAAGAGGCCAGGGGAGAGGAGCCCCATGAACACACCTGTGATGTTGAGGATGCTATCAGCTATGGCAGTAGGCGTCACAGTGCCTTCAGTGGTCTCAGCCTGCAGGACACGCATCATGCCCTCCAGCTTGTGCAGTGTCTGTTTCAAGCATGAGCGGCACACGAGCTCCCTACTAGACACCTGTGTGGAACCCAGTATCACATCCAGCCCCATCTGCTATGCTAGCCTCATGGCCAGGGACCCAGGCAAACCAGCAGCTCAACAATCCCTTGGGTTGGCTCATGTCCGTCCTCCCCCAATTCAGCCCGGCTCTACCTCAAGCTCACCAGGACACTGAGCTCCCCCCAATCCCCAGCACTGCACTCTGTAGCTGGAGATCTTACCCACGTGGCCCAACTGAGAGCTCTCTAGTGGTTCTATCCAACCCATGGCACATCCCAACTCCTGGGGCCCTTATGACAAGGACCTGCCAACCACCCCAGTGTCTCTTCACACAACTAAATGTAAGGTAGACACCAAAGCTGTAGATAAACTCCCATGCCAGCCACACACACAGCCACGGAAGCCATGTGGCCACAGAATGACCTCCAGCCAGAAGGCTCTCCTTCTCTCCGAGAGCTGGACCTGCTCTATGGCAGTCCCCCAAGCAGATGTGCTCAACACCATTCCCCAGTCTGGACCTGAGTGCCTCATAGTGGACAGACTATGTCGTGTGTGCGGGTAAGTGGCCTGAGGGGAACAGTGTCTTGTGTCTACCCCTCCCCACATCTGGGCTGCTCTTGTGCCTGGCCCACCCTGCAGAGTCGCCTTAGGGGCACCTGTGGCTTCCTGGCAGATAGTGACAGGAGAAAAACAGCTGAGACTGACTCAGAGGTCACAGGGGCCAAGTGGAGGCTCTAAGGTTGTGGGGCTCAATGCCTAGGGCTGCTGTAGGGCCTGGGGTTTGGGGAGGGCACATGGGGATACTGTCACACCATGCACTGGGCCAGCGCTGCAGCAATCTGCTGAATGTCATCCACGGTGTTGACTCGCAGAGAGACTAGGGTCTCTGTGATGTTTTTGCGTATCTGGGCTCGCAGATGCTGCTCCTGGTTGGATTCTGCTGCCATGCTGAGGACCTGCTCATACTAGGGTGGGGGGAGGGCACAAGAGCTATCAGCAGGAATGCAGACCCAACCAGCATCAGAGTCTCTGGGGTGTCCACTGCAGAGTCACATGTGGTTATGCTGTGTGGCCCAGCAGTAACTTGAGGCCCAAGCAGTTTCCTTGAGGACAAAATGGGGCAAGCTCAGCTGCCATCCTGGTACCAGGTGGCACTGGACAGTGTGTGGGCCAGCAGACACAGAAAGGACTTGGCGTAGGGTGGCTACTGAAAACAATTACTTCAAAGACATCAGGATTCCATTGGGGACCAAGGGACAAGTAGGGGGTACCTGACCCACCCCCACATGTGCAGCAGATGCTGGGGATCCCCTCCTGACTGCACTGACCTCGTTGAGCACAGTGACAAGGGCCAGTGAGTACTCGATGACGTGCTGGGGGTCAGCCTGTCTTAGCAGCCCAGGCAGCACACTGGCTGTTAGGCCATGCAGCCAGGAACTAAGCCCTGGAGTACTGCCATTGGGCTCTGGAAGGGTGATGGCCACAGACCTACAGGGTGGATGGAGACTGTGAGCAGGCAATGGTTACCAAAACCCCTTCCCATGAGCCCAGCTTACCTGTTGAGGGCAACCACGGAAGCACCCAGTTGGTCCTGCACAACGACAGCCAGGCCCACCTCGAAGTGTGGCCTGAACCCAGGGGGCAGCACAGCCCCATAGGTGGAGAGGCTGCCTTTGTAAATGCAGAACTCCTCACAGTGGCCCCGACGACAGCGCTGCAGCAGCAAGGCATACACCAGCGGGGCACCAGCATCCTCAGCATCCCGCCAACCTGCAGAACCCCACAGTATCAGGGCAGATCCAAGCATTCACCCACTACAGTCCCCAATACAGTCCCACACTCACCTGTACATTCAAAGTGCACCTTGGTGGTAAGGGCACGCACAGCGTCCAGCGGGAAGAGGCGACACGAGCCCCCGAGCGGAGGGCTGTTGGGGGACAGGCGGATGGAGGCACAGCCTTCCTCCTCGCCTGAGTGGCCCAGCACAGTAAGCGTGAACGTGTAGCCCTCGCCGTCCCGCAGCACGCCCTGCCGCACTACTAGCCGCATGCCGGCGCTGCCAGTGGAGGTGGTGGTCTCGTCCAGCACCAGGGTTTTATTGCTGAAGGTACGGGCGGCCCAGCGCTGCAGACAGCAAAGGGAGATGAGGCAGTTGCGCGCAGGTCCCGCCTCGCGGCATAAGACCACGCCCCAGCTCCACCCCCTCGCCCTTTGCCCCGCCTCGCTTACTCCGCGCTTGGAGCCGGGGCTGCAGTTGTGGCAGCGCCCCTCCAGGTACACGTGGGAGCTGCGGCTCACTTCGTAAACCGCCTGTGCCTTGCAGGACACGCACTCCAAGGACACGATCGGCACCCGGCCACTCCGGATCAGCACCTAGGGAGGGGTGGTGTTCCCAAGAAGCCATGCCCACTCTGGCCCCTCATCTGCTCAGGTGGGAAAGCGCCTTCTATCCCCGCACTTACTCAGCCTAAACTCCAGGTTTCTGAGGCGCCTATCCCCACCCGCAAGCTCTGCCTCTTGTATGCTCTATCCTGTTTCCCACACCCCAGTCTAGAGAGGATTGGTCATCTAAAACTACAGAGGCTATGTGGGGCTTGTTTTCTGCACATTAGGATCCAGCTTGAGCCTGATAGCAAGGAGGCAGGCTCCTTTCACCGACAGACCCATGGATGGGTACCTGAAGGTATGTCTGTGTGTATGAACAAAGTCTGAAGGCAGCCCCATTCTCCATAGCCCTGTCTCACATGTCCTGCTGCCCTGGGCTGAGACCTGCTCCCAAAAACCTCTTCCCCAGATGCTTCCTCTAGACCCCCAGTCAAGCGGACACCACCACTCCAGGGCACTAGCAAGGCCACCACAGGGTCAGAGTCACCTGCATGGTTGTCTGGAGCCTCTTGACTGACAGAGGAGTGTGAGGGTGAGAACTGGCCCAGCCCATTTGGAAATGACACATAGGCTCTGGGGACAGTGGTTATCTCTGGGAGGGGACTGTTCTGTTTGCCCTTTGCACTGTCTAGATACAGTACTAGAGCTTGTCCAGCCCCTTTCATGATTTCACATGAAACTGGCAGGGCACATGGCTCATGCCTGTAATCCTAGCACACTGGGAGTCCGAGGTGGGAGGATTGCTTAAACTCAGAAGTTGAGACCAGCATGAGCCACAGTTTACTAAAAGCAGAAAAATTAGCCAGGGGTTGTAGTGGAGACCAGTAGTCACAGCTATACTCGGGAGGCTGAGGCAGGAGGATCATTTCAACCCAAGAGTTTGGGGCTGCAGTGAGCTATGATGCTACCACTGTACTCCAGCCTAAGTGACAGATCAAAAGTCTGTCTCCCAAAAACAAACAAAAAAACACCATTTATGGAACGAAGCAATGCTGAGGTAGGGCATTTGGTTAAATAAAATTTGTATCAAACCAACAGGTAAGAAAAGAATCTAGGGCAGTGCCTGTGGCTCAGTGAGTATGGCACCAGTCCCATGTACCAAGGGTGGCAGGTTCAAACCTGGCCCCGGCCAAACTGCAACAAAAACAAAAAAATAGACAGGCATTGAGCCAGGCACCTGTAGTCCCAGCTACTCGGGAGGGTGAGACAAGAGAATCACCTAAGCCCAGGAGTTGGAGGCTGCTGTGAGCTGTGTGACACCATGGCACTCTACCGAGGGCAGTAAAATGAAATTCTGTCTCTACAAAAAAAAGAGAATCTACAGCCTTTGCAACAACTGAAACAGAGAAAAACCTATGAAGAGAGGAAAAGCTGACCATCTGTGTGTGTGGTCCTGTAGAGGGGGCACACGCACCGTCTGGTTGGTGGCCTCCTCCTTCCGGCCCACCTTCCACACAGTGAGGTTGAAGGTGTACTCCACACCAGCTGCCAGGCGCTCTTGGGGGATGGTGACCACGCTGCTCCCACGGGGCCCAAAGTTCAAAGCACACCCGCCAGCCTCACTCTGCAAACCACAAACAAGGGAGATGAGGTGGTGTAAGATCCATGACATGTCTCAAAGTGAGGCCCAGCCAGGCACCAACTGAGAAGACCCCCTCTCCCTATTCTAGGACCAAGCCCACTAGTACTGTGGACAGGGAAGAATACTAGGCATTTGCGGGACTCATTAGTGAGCATGACTGAGGGACAGGGAAGGTGGCCTGGCCACATGGCTGACCTGTGTCGAGGCCACACAGGCCCAGTGGAAGCTGAGCGGTGTCTGGTCGCCATCTTCCAGGTTAGGGTCGTAGGACTTACTCCCATCCAGCACCAGGTCCTGCGTGTCTGACCATACACGGTATGAGCCACCCTCAATGATGGGCACCAGGCGCTCAGGGGCCATTGTTACATTGGCCTGAATGCTCCGTGCCAGTGGTGTATCTCCAAATGACACGACAAACACAAAACAGTAGTGGCCCACAGGCAGTGCCAGTCGTGGCACAACCAGCTGAGGCCGGCTCACATCCACACCAGGCAGAGCCACTGGGGCCATTCGCCCCTGCCGCTGGCAGCTGGCAGCACGGTACACCTCCCAGCGGTACTCAGTCTGGTAGGTAACACAGTCACGCAGGTCAATGTGGGCCTCCAAGTAGTTGCGCTGGGAGCGCCGCATCAGCACCTGGAGGGGCAGGGCCACATCCACTTCCGGCTCCCTACAGGCTAGCACCTGGACAGTCACTGTGGCCTGTGCCACAAAGAAGCTCACCAGGTTGGAGGCATTCACCTGCACATTGTAGTCTCCTGGCTGTAGGTAGGAGTGCTCGGCCCAGGGCTCATCTGTGTCCTGCACTGGGGCTCCATCTCCGAAGTCCCAATGGTAGGCCACGCGCCGGGGACTAGGGCTTGTGGCAGCCTCAAACTGGGCCGAGCGGTTGGTGAAGCAGCGGCCACTCTGCAGTTGTACATACTGGATGACATCCTGGACTTCCACCACGAGCGTTCGGTTCTCACTGCCTAGTGCATTGAAGGCACGCACGTTAATCTCCAGCAGCCCTGCAGCCACGGGCGTGTAGGTGACATCACGGCCAGACAGGATGACCAGTGAGTCACCCTGGACCTTCTGCAAGGAGAAGTACCAGGCATAGGCGACTCGGGAGCCACGCTGCACACGGGCTGTGAAGTTCCTCTCAGTGCCTGTGGCGATGCCTGGCTCACAACAGTTGGGCACATGCAGCCCACTCACGGCCTCCAGCACCGAGATGCGCACTTGTGCCTGGGCCCGGCTTACATGGTTCTCGGCCTGCACGCTCACCACATGATCTCCTACCCATGGGAAGCTGTGGGAGAAACGGGGCCCTGGGAGCACTTCAGTGCCACCCCCGCCAACCTGCAGGCGGAAGGTGACAGCTGAGCCGGTGGCCAACAGGATCTGAAAATGGACAAGCTGCCCAGGTGCCACCACCTTGCTACTGGCCCATAGCACCAGGCCCATGATGGGCTCCTCCACTGTGAGGTTGTACACAGCTGTGACCCAGCTGACTGCGTTGGAGGCATTGAGCTGGATGAAGAAGATGCCAGCATCAGGGAAGACCACGGTGATGTGCTGGCCACGCTTGCTGCCACCTGGCACAGCCCAGCACCAGCTCACATTGGTACCCATGGCCAGCTGCCCCCAGAATGACACAGTGGAACCAGCAGCCACAAAGCTGCTGTCTGGCTCTCCAGCCCTAATGCTAAGGCCACTCACAGGCACCTGCACTGCCACTTCAGTGGTGGCATTGACTGAGCCCAGCTGGTTCCTTGCTGTGACTGTGAGCAGATGCATGCCAGCTATAGTGAAAGTATGGGTGGTGGATGGCTCAGGTGTCTCCCAGCTCAGCCCTTCCTCCAAGGACCAAGTGTAATTAATGCCACTGCCACCAGCCAGCTCAGCACTGAAGGTGATGCTCATATTGACAGCAGCGGGGTTGGGTGAGGCAACCACAGTCAGCCACCCCACAGGCTCCACAAAGTCCACGGTGCGGTTGGCCCAGGCACTGCCCAGCATGTTAGTGGCACGCAGCTGGATATGGTAGGTGCCTGCCTTTAGGGCAGTAAGTGAGAAGCTTTTGCCACTGCCAACTAGGGCTGGGCTGCCATTCTGCTGGGCAGTCCAGCTGTAGGAGATGTTGGTGCCATCTCTGACAGTGGCCTGTAGCTGTAGCGTGTGGTTGGTGGGAAAGCAGCAGTTGCTGCCACCACCCACCACCTGCAGCCCCTCAATGAGCTGCAAGACATAGATGAAGATGTTGTCCTGGGCGGAACCCACCTTGTTCTCAGCTGTAACGATGATGTTGAAGGTGCCCACTGAGCGGAAGGTGTAAGAGATGGTGGGGCCCCCGGGGATGGGTGTGCAGCGGTCACACAGCACCCAGGAGTATTGTACATCACTGCCTGCCTCCAGGGAGGTGCTGAAGCTCACACTGCTGTTCAGGGGCACTGCTGTGCGGCTGGCATTAAGGCTGAGCCCCTGCACACGCTGCTGCACTGTGACATTGAGCCAGGCCTCACTGTGGCTCACCCCATTCCAGCCTGCCACCCGTATGGTGAAGTCACCTGTACTGTTGTAGGCATGGGTGACCTCTGGTCCCTTGAGCCATTCACCATCCCCTAGTTCCCACAAATAAGTGGCAGGGTGTCCGTGGCCCAGTGCAGAGAAAAGGTACGGCTGCTGCAGCTCCAGCACTTGGGAGCTGTTGACCTTGATGCCCAAGAGTACCACAGGCTCCTGTACCTCTACCACAGCCGAGTCATTGGCAACTGACACATTGTTAGATGCTATGACTATCACCAGGTAGGAGCCTGGGTCTCTGTAGGTGAATGTCACCTCAGGGCCCCAGGTGCAGGATGGGGTGGCATCTGCAGTGCCCAAGTCCCAGGTATAGCGATAAGGGTACAGAGGCCAGGCATGTGCCACCAGCCGGGCCTCATCACCAAGTTGCACAAACTGCTTCTCAGGCTGCAGGGTGACATTGAGCACCTCAGGCTCCACACAGATGCTGGTGAAGTAATGTGCCTTGTTCACTCGGCTCGACAGCACCAGTGCTAAGGGGAATGTTCCACTCTGTGTGAAGTTGTGCATAATTGCTGGGTACCCTTGGATGGTTGTGTTAGAGGAGCCGTCCCCAAAGGTCCAGTCAAATTGGTAGTGTTCAGGGTCCCCGGTGACATGGGCCATCAACCGGGCATTGAGCTGTGTGGGGATGCAGGTGGCAGGCTCAATGCGTAGTACCTCCAAGACAAAGACCTGTACCTGCAAGCTCTGGGCCAGGTGGCCAGCAGGGCTGGCAGCGCCCACAGTCACTGTGTAGTTCTGTGCCTGCAAGTACACGTGTTCCACTGTGGCCTCAGGGCCTGTGAGCACTGTGCCATCCCCCATGTCGAAGGTCCAGGTGATGTTGTCACCCATCTCTACAATGGCACTGACCACAATGGGCGCACCCTGCTCCACAGCTGGGCTCATGTGCACACTCAGGCCTCGGAGTTCTTCAAAGACATGGACATCTGCATGTGCTGCCACACTGCTTACTGTGTTGTTGACCTCCAAGCGGACGAGGTACGTACCCCTCAAAGCATAGGTGTGGTTGACCATTGAATGGCTTTGCTTCAGGATGGGGGAGCTGTCCCCAAAGTCCCACGTGTATAGGATGCCACCAGGTGAGGGCAGGGGGCGTGGGTAGAAAGTAACAGGCTGACCAGTTACCAAGACACCACTGCTCATCCCCACGGCCACGGTAGGTAGGGGTGCACGCACACTCACAGGCACCTGTTTCGTCAGGTTCTCAAAGGCATTGGACACGAGCACAGTTAGGCTGTACTCACCTGTGGGGATAGGCCCAGAGTGAGTCAGGTTCCCTGCTTACCACCTGGTGAGGATGGGAGATAGCCCTCCTAGGCAAGGAGCGGGCCCCTCATTGAAGCACCAGTGGTTACACCCTCAGACCCATACTGAGGGCCCACACATCTGGCTGCACATAGGACAGCAGCAGAGGCTGTGGTTGGGGTGGAAAGGTGGGATGGGAAGCCAACAAAGCAGCCAGCAAGGCCAGGTCAGCTTGGCCTGCCCTATAAGACACTAAGTGACCTCAGTGTGAGAGGTTCTGGAATTTTAAAAATTACATGGCTACTCCCTCTTCCTCTCCCCAAAAGGCTGAGAACGGAGAGCATAAGATCCAGTTTCTGGCCAGCAGATTCAACTCACAGAGGTCAGGTGCCCTGCCTATCCTCACCACTCACACCTAGGCACCGACCTTCCCCCCAGAAGGGCCTCAGCTATTTTTTTTTTTTTTTTTGAGACAGTGTCTTACTTTCTTGCCCTCGGTAGAGTGCCATTGCATCACAGCTACAGCAACCTCCAGCTTCTGGGCTTAGGCGATTCTTCTGCCTCAGCCTCCCGAGCAGCTGGGACTACAGATGCCCGCCACAACACTGGCTATTTTTTTGTTGCAGTTTGGCAGGGGCTAGGTTTGAATCCGCCACCCTTGGTATATGGAGCTGGCGCCCCACTCACTGAGCCACAGGGCACTGCCCAGGGCTTCAAGCTATTAACCCCAGCAGGTCATGGTGGAGGGGATGGGGGCTGTCCCAAAGGAAGAGCTGTCCAAGCTCAGGGTCCCAAGGGCAATGGCCCTGACCCTCACCTGGGGTGGTGTAGGTGTGTGTGGCGTTGTGCTCCACTAGCACCTGGGCTACTGCAGGGTCTGGGACCTGGAAGGACTTGACATATGGAGGCTTGAACTGACTGAGTGTCTGCTCCCCATCCCCAAAGGTCCACCTGCCAGGGTGGTAGCAGGCAGTAAACAGAACGGAACAGGGGCAACAGGCAGGACTGGCACTCCCATAGTGGGAAGCCTGCTGGCCCAGCTGTACCTGAGCCCCACAGTGGCTCCCTCCTGGTTCTCCCATCCAGGTCCTCTCTGTGCCAGATCCTCCCACCCCTCCCATGCAGCCCTTCCAGGGTCCTATGCACCTGGCATCCCCTGACAGATAGAGAAACTGAGGCTCAGAAAGGCAATACTGTGGCCGGGGGTCCCACAAATGAGGCTAGGGGCTGGGATAAGAACCTGGCTGGCCACCCACTCCCCCCTGCCTGACTCCAGGCGCTCACAGGAAGGCTACTTCCACAGCTGAGTCTACCAGCACACTAGCCGTCAGTGCCAAGGTGACATTGAGGGGCAGCACAGCTGGCACTGTGGACACTTGCAGGCCCCGCATCCGGTTCATCCGCTCCACAGACACATTATAGTTCACTGTTACGTTGCTCACATGGTTGGAGGCTGTCAGCTGCAGAGACAGGCGTCAGTGGGCATGGGCCACAACTAACTGGGAGGACAGTAGATGGCGAGGCCCCAGCCCCACTTCATGCCCCACCCCACACTCACCCATGGCAGCAGCAGCATCCTTGGGCAAAGCAGAGCAGAACAGAAGGCCAAGGTGAGAGGCCAAGGTGAGAACCCAGGTACCCCAGGACCCTGCCCCGCCCACCTGCCCACCTACTGAGAGCTTGAAGACTGCAGCGCTCTGGTAGATGACGTTGAAGACCACATTGTGGAAGGTCAGGGACTGCTTATCATCGATGGTCCACCGGAAGACCACATCTGAGCCAGCCTCCACCACAGGGCTATACCTCTGAAGGAGGGTGCAGCATCAGCCAAGGTCACAACTCTGCCCCAGCTGGGGATTTATGGAGGATTAACTCTGCCCTCAGGCCCTGTTGACCCACTGGAATAGCCCCTATTGGGGGTGCTAGAGAATGCCAACATGACACAGAGAGGGCTGGTGGGCCCACAGGTGAGTCACAACCCCCAGACCCCTATACGAAGGAGAGGGATGTGCCCAGGGCCCTGGATGTGTGGTGCCTAGGCCATGTGGCATTGATTTAGGGTCAAGACCTGGCTCTCCAACCTCTAGCCACATGGCCTTGGCTTTTCTATGCCTATTTACCTACCTGCCAAGTGGACCCAGTACCAGCTACAAAGAGCCAACCTATCTCTGAGCCCTCACAAACCCCCAGTTTCAGCTCCTGCCCCAGCTCCTTAGTTGGACAGCTCAGGGGCTTAGGAAAGACATGTGAGCCCCACAGGCCCTGGGGTCTGGGATGATGATCAACTGACAGAACAGGTGTCACCAAGGGAGCCAGGACCAAGCTCAGAGCACAACCACACAAGTCACAACCCTCTGGTGCAGGAACTGGGCACCCCCAGGAAGAAGACAGCCTCATCCTTGCATGGTACCATGGTGGACCATCTGACTTCCATCAGAGGTTCAGACTCCCTCAGAAACCACTCACATTTGCTAGAGGGCCTGGAAAATGCACCTGGACTCTCAAAGGCTCGTATGAGGTCAGACAGGAAAAAAGTTAGGACAATTTGGTTCATGAAATGTGAGCAGGAAGTACTTAAAGTGGCTATTTTAGCTGTGACACCTTAGTAATCAAGAAATTAGTGAGTAGCCTGAAAAGTGACTTGACAGGACCTGGGAAGACAGGCTCCCATTCTGCATGGGCACATAGCTGGGGTGGGCTACAGGCCACACTCACCACTAGGACTCCCTGCAGCACACGGGCCTCAGGGCTGGGCATAGCATGGAGGCCATAGATGGGTTCCTCAGCCGTCACCCGCAGGCTGAGGTTGGCACAGCCGGCACTGTTCTCTGCCACGACCTCCACTGTGTGCTCCCCCTCACTGAGCCTGGGCAGTGCCAGGACTGAGAACAGGGTGTCATTGGTCTTCCAGGGGCAGTCAGGCATGAGAGTGGCCACCACAGCAGGGCAGGCAGCCTCAAAGGGTGCGCTAACACTGCCCCCAGGCCAGCGAGCTGTGGCTGTGGCATTGGCACCGGAGTCTACCTGGAGCACTAAGGCAGAGCCGTTGGTTGGCACATAGAGGTGGCTGTCGTGTGGGGCAGGGTGGATGACCCGCAGCCCAGCCACTGGGGAGACAACACTAAAGCTGCAGGACAGATTGTGCCTGGACACACTGTTGCCCACCATGGCCCGGACCTCATAGTGGCCCGGACGCTGCAGCCCAGGGTTGGGCCTCAGGCCCAGCAGGGGTGTGAAGCGCTCTGTGGCCCCAAGCACTCTCAGAGCACAGGCAGGACCGGCCTGAGCTTCCTCCAGTTGGGTGGGAAGGTGGGCCAGCCAGCCTGAGGCATTAGCAGAAAAATATGGGGCACGGAGGCCAGGGTGACCGGGAGCCAGGGGGCAATGCAGGAATGCACCAGGGCCAGCATCATGCTGCAGTCCAATAAGGTCACCAGGGAGCATGAGGACATCCTGGCCGAGGAACGTGACCTACAAAAGAGAGAGGTAGAGGTGTACCACATACACATGGTCAGGGCCTGCAGGGACCACTCAGCAGGTAGGGCTCCCAGCTGAGGGTCTCAGCACCATACTCCCTGCTTCATGTAGCCCCTGCCCCCCAAGTGCTCATAGCAGGGACAGACAGAACAGTTACAAACAAGGGACACCACAGGGAGAGGGTGTAGGCAGGGTGGACTGCCTAGACAGGTGGAGCCCTTGATAGATACTGGGGCTAGACCTGAAGGATGAAAAAGAGCCAGACCTGCTGAAGGGCAAAGCAGGCACAGAAGGTGCAAAGATCCTGGGATGGGAGCTGCACATGCTGGGAGATAAGCCAGGGCCCGCTAGGGCATAGAGGGCACAAGGCCAGGGAGGGCCTGCTGGAGGGAAACTTGTATCCTGTCTGTTTGGCAGTGATAGCAAACTTTGGGTGGCTGAAGGAAAGGTGGTCTGGGCAGCTAGTTAAAGACAGATCTAGGGCACAGAGGCTCGAGCCTGTAATCCTAGCACTCTGGGAAGCTGAGGCTGGTAGACTGTCTGAGCTTAGAAGAGACCAGCCTGAGCAAAAGCGAGACACCATCTCTACTAAAAATAGAAAAACTGAGGCAAGAGGATTGCTTTAGCCAAAGAGTTGGAGGTTGCTGTGAGCTATGACACCACAGCGCTCCATTCAGGGCAACTGAGTGAGACTCTGCCTTAAAACAAAACAAAACAAAACAAGACAGATCTAGGTCAGGGACACACACCGAGTATTGTGCAGGGGGTCCTGCAGGAATAGAGAAGAGGAACTCTCTCCATAGCATATAAGTGGCCCTGCAGAGCCCAGGCCCTGATATGAACCCGCTGGCACAGGCCTGAGGGTGGCAAGAGGCATCCAGCGGCACACAGACATTGGCTCCAGGGCACCAGCGTCCCTCTGGCACACACTCAGGGGCCGGCTCAGTCCTGTTGTCCAAGGACCCACTATCAAGTTCACTGCTGTTTTCTGGAACCCCTGCAATAAGAGGAGTATCAGGAACCCAGATTTGCTAACAGGCTCCAGGCTTGCACCCTGACAAAGCTGACCTTGGCCATGATGCTAGGACTCACAAAGCAGCACACCTAGCCCTCATCATGCCCCTGCTACTGGCCATCTGACTGGCTTAAGGCAGCCCCCATCCCTCCTTGGGATACCTGTGAGACAGTGTCTGTTGTCCCTGCTCTCTGTTCACCTTGAGGCTGAGTGCTAGCCTCATGGTCAAGTGGTCAGCAGATGTGAGAACTCAGAGAGGCCACCCTGACCCTTAAACACCCTCTACCATCTCAGTCGCACCTGCTTCTCTCAAGGGGCGGTGCACCTGCAGCCGCAGCTGGGCAGACTGGCTGAGCTCCTGGGTCCCAAATTCAACTGTGGTGAGGAAGGCTTCTCGGCTCAGCTCCAGGCCAGGAAACACCATGACCTGGTGGAGAAGGGGGGCCACCTAAGCTATGCAGACCGACCGGGGGGGCCTGGATTCCCCAAGCCTAAACACCTACCAGAAGAGAGGGGAAGAAGGCCATCAGAACGCCTTTCTGTAGCCACCACAGGCCTAATTTTATGTCACTTGGGAGGAAAAATATCAAAACCATCTTATGAGAAGCAGGATCCCTATCTTGGCTTTTTAAAAATAATTCACAAACGGCTCGGCGCCTGTGGCTCAACCAGCTAAGGCGCCAGCCACGTACACCTAAGGTGGCGGGTTCGAATC